CGGTGGCTCTCGGCCCCCGCCCCGGGCCAGGTCTCCGCCCGCCGCCGCTCTGCGCAGCCCCGCGTTCCGAGGCGTCGGAGGCGGGCACCGACGCGTTTAGCCGCGGGGCCCCAGGGTTCGGCTCGGTTCGCTTGGGGGGGTGTGTGTGTTGACACAGGCAATTGTCAAATTTTCTCCAGTTGCTTGCCCTCCATCCCACAACTGTGTAAATCAAGTTTGGGAAACCTTTTTCTCAAAGAAGGACAACATAAAATCAAATCTGGGCTCACATAAGCATCATTAAAAATGACAATTTTCTTCGTTTTGTTTGGTTGGGTTTTTCTACAGAGATAATATTCACTTTAAATTTATAAACTACAAATATTTTGAAGCACGCACTCATAGTTAAAGCGAGCGGAGGGATGGTGTGGATATGGAGAAAGTTGGAGAATGATGCAGAAGATAAACACATAACAGGTGCAGGAGAAGCGACTGGAAGTCTCAGACCTAGGGAAGAAAGAAAAACAAGACTACGTGGAATAATATCCTCATCCTGTGGTTTTCTCAGATATTGGTCTCTAGGACTGAAGTCTATTGCCCTTTCCTAGTTTAGGCATAAATGTAGATATTGGCTTTTAGGAAAATTGATGGTTGTTACAGCTCTGATCAGGAGACGGCTTTTTCCTTGTAGCCTGTTGTGTAATGTGCTGAGGGTAGTGCAGTTTCTGTAGGTTTTGATGTTAGGTGTGAACTGTGTATATTCTTTCTTGCTGAGTTAGTCAAGTAAAAGCCATTTTCATAAAACAGAAGTTTCATAAGGTAAAATATAGTTTCTGAAATTAAATACTTATTTTATTTAGGAAAGCTCTTTTATCTAAATTGTACAAAGACCATATGAAATCTATAAAAGGTTCTTATATTCAGTGACTTAACATGGTTCATATTCCTACCAATTGCTGCATATGAGGTAAAGGAAAACATTTTTTTCTAAAAGCCAAATAGGTAACTCTACATAACTATACAATACAAATATATTTTCAAATAAGATTAATTAATAAACTGCAGCACTTTTAAGTTGCACACGTTGTAACAGGGCAAATGCTGCTGTTTTAGGTTGCAGCTGTTAGGCCAGAGCTCTGTAACAGGTGAACGTTGTTAAAACTCCAGCATGAAGCGGAAGGCCTCCTTAAGGCTCAGTATCAGAGGAAACCCACGTTGCTGGTACCCACTGCGGCTCCTCCTGAGCCTTCTGAACTGCAGACAGCAGCTGGGCACATGCATCTTGCAAGTGGTCATTCACAATCACGTGATCAAAAAACTGGCCAAACTGAGTCTCCATTTTTTGGGCTAAATCCTCCATCTCTTGTAGATCTTCATCCTTCAGGGGAAATAGAAACATATGGATAGGGCCGGCCCCGTGGCTTAGCGGTTAAGTGCGTGCTCTCCGCTGCCGGCGGCCCGGGTTCGGATCCCGGGTGCGCACCGAGGCACCACTCCTCCAGCCATGCTGAGGCCGTGTCCCACATACAGCAACTAGAAGGATGTGCAGCTATGACAGACAACTATGTACTGGGGCTTTGGGGGAAAAATAAATAAATAAAATCTTTAAAAAAAAAAAAAAAGAAACATATGGATAGCACAAACGTAACGAGTAATGAGACCAATAGAAATAATATGCAGCTTGTTATGATTACTGTTATGCAGCTGTTACATTTGGTTGTGAAGCTATTTATGAAAAGTTAGGTCAAATAAATGTGCTTTATTCTAAACCACAAAACTTATGTTTCTATCTTTAGACTTACTTAACGTCTCCCTGGGCAAGTTTTCACAAAATTTAGTAACAGTTTGTAGACAGACCAATCCTCTCAACTTCCCATTTGGACTTAAAATATCTTGTTCTATTATCTAAACACTTGAAGCTCTCAAACAATATACAACATAAAACCAAAGAAAATTTACCAGTTAAATTTAAACACAAATTTCAAATGAACATTAATCTGATAAGAATGACATTATTTTGCAATACACAATGACCACTTTCAACATGAGGATGCTCTGACCCAGTTCTATTGAATTAGGCATACTTCAATTACCCTTTCCTTCATGATGACCTAATTCACCCTAATATCGTCTCTTTCTACTATTGTGAGATGTTCATTCAGTGAAGGTCATTTGGCCTTCACTGAGCACTAATGCAGTAAATTCATTGTTCTTATTTTCTTATTTGTCGACAACAATTAAAATAGTACAACTCGTTGCCAATGCATCATAAACACAAATATAAATGCAGGCACTGGAATCTCGTGGCAGTACTGCTTTACAAGGTGACCTTACACATGATCCAGAAACAATTTTGTTCATTTGTTTAGATTACCATAAAAATAAGAACACAATTTTAAATGCCTGTAAGACTCAGAGAATATATCCATGAACTCCACTGTCTAAAATGCAAACTGGAGAGTCAGACCTTGATATAGTAATCATTGAAAACATATGAACATAAAAATAATGAGAGAGAAAGGATAATATAAAGCTATCTTGTGCTCACTTCAGCAGCACATATACTAAAATTGAAATGATACAGAGATTAGCATGGACCCCGTGCAAGGATACATGCAAATTCATGAAGTATTCCATATGTTTAATTTCAGTTTTGCAAGATGAAAAAGTTCTGGAGCTCTGTTTCATGATGTGAATATACTTTACACTACAGAACTATACATTTAAAAATGGTTAAGATGGCAAGTTTTGTGCTTTATGTTATGTGTTTCTTACCACACACACAAAAATATTATGGATGCGATATCTTGATCTAGGTGATGGTTATCACTGAGCTGTACACTTAAGATTTATACACCTTGCTGAGTGTATGCTATGACTTAAAACATTTAAAATGGATTTAATGAAAAATATATATAAAACTGGAAAAAAATTCACCTATTCTAGGAAGAGTTCACTGATTAATCCCATCTGGGTTGGCCCCTCTATTATTACTATCATCATTAATAAACATTTTTCGTGTTTAAATATATATATAAAGAAAACTCATATTACAGATGAGATATATTCACTAGAGCATTTTTAAAGTAAACTCTCAAATGTTTTTGTGAAATAAATAATCCATTTTAAATACAAATACTAGGCTTGTGCACACCCAATTTCTATGTGTCTTTGCAAACTGTGGCTTGAGGGTCTTTTTTTTTTAAGTTAGACCCAAAAAAAGAAGAAAAAATAAGAGTAGCATCATAGCAGTTATTAAACTTTATTTTAGTATCTATAAATGATGTCCAGTAAAAAGGATAAATCATAAGGGCATTATTCATTAGAAACAAAAATTATATTCCTTGACATAGGGATGCTGTGGAAATAATAGTGATTTTTGACTGGGAAAAAAAATACATTCATCCATTGCCTCTGTGTCTTACCTTGAACTTCATGTCCACAAAGTAGTCTGTAATGATCTTGGCATTTTTCCGAGATTGCTTCATACAACTCATGTTAGACGGCTTTATGAATATGACATAGGGCTTCAGTTCATGGGTTCGAGCCACTTGAATACCCTACAGAGAAAAATTAAATGCACATTTAAAAACAGAAGTCTTAATTTTCTAGAGTCAACATGAATGTTCTCAAAATTTCTAAGATCAGAAATTAGCAATTATTTTTAGTTAGAGTAGATTCTCATGTGCCATCAAGTCCTAAACGCTAAAAAACATTTTAATAATTAAGAGATGGGGTTCTAGAATCAAAATTAAGTTCCAATCCTGGCTCTTCCTTTTACCAGCCATGACACCCTTACTGAAATCTGAGAGTAGGACTCTGTACATGATCTCACGGGACAAAGACAAAGACAGACTCTCCAGGCCGAGCAGCTGTTTCACTGTCTTCCCCTTCCTCTTACCATTATCTCACACTGGACACTACTGACACCTTCACACTGACCACCAGCTTTGACCCAAGTAAGAACTCGTAACGCCTGATTCTATTTAGCACACAAGGTGTATTTTTAAATGACTATAGAAAATGCAAAGAAAATACAGGGATCATAAAAAGTGGGCCTACTCACTGTATGTTCTTTATTCTACCTTAACTTGCTCTCTCCTCCTCCGTTCCACATACAGTCTCCGGGAGATAGTTATAGATATGACAACGTAGGAACCTCACCTCCTGTGTAAAGCAACATCTTCTTCCCCTCACAAGAAGTTACCTTTATGCCTTTGTGATCAAGGTCAAAGAAGATTCTAAGTTTTCTTCATGGCCACCCACTCAGTTCTGTTTTTGCGTCTGAGAAACTAGATTTCTTCCCCAACTAAAGACAAGATATTTGCCATTGATACTTCACATAAGATCCTGGCTCTCAGATATGGGAAGTGGTCTTACCCTTAAAAGGCTAACAGAATAAAATGTCTCAGCTGCAACCTACAGCATGTGCACAAATTGGATGACATGCATTCATTGCTTTGGGGAGACAGGAAATATTCCACCACCGACCCACCTGAGGCTCTAAGTCCAATACACAGATCTTTCCTTCATCAAGAACTGCTTGAACAGCATCCACGCTGGTGCCATACAGGTGGCCTTTGTACTCGCCATACTCAAGCATCCTGCAAGGGAGGGACAAAGAAACAAGAACTCTGTCTAGAAGTAAAATACTATTAGTAGTAACATGAAGATAAACTCCAACAGACTAGAATAAACTAAGTGGACTTTGTTAGCACAAAAAGAATTAGTGGATATTCGACAGGAGAAAAAAATATTAGGAGATCTAGGACTTAACTCCTTCAAATTCTCTAAAATTTGCAACTCAATTCTGCTCCCTCTCCAAACCCAGCAAGTTGGTGTACTTATATATCAATTTACATTTCCTTGCTTAATTCTTCAGAAACAAAAAGAGGTTACCTCAGAAGCTTTGGATAATGTATAAAAATAGGGAATCTAATTTGAATGTGAAACAACCAGAGGCGGGGATCAGAGTCCCACTGTCTAGTTTACCTGTGGCTATACACGAGGCTTTCAAATGCTTCCTTTGACACATAGTGGTACTCGCGTCCATTCATTTCATAACTCTTTTGGGAACGAGTAGTATCTATCAAAAAAAGGAAATTTTAAAAAAGGTTTTAGAATCTTCAAAATGTTTTGATTTATTACCAATATGCATTTGGATAAAGATGTCCAATCAATGGGGGCTGGCCAGGCGGCGCAAGCAGTTAAGTGCTCGCGCCCCGCTGCGGCGGCCGGGGTTCACCGGTTCCGATCCTGGCCACGCACCGACGCACCGCTTGGCAAGCCATGCTGTGGCAGCGTCCGGTATAAAAAGTGGAGGAAGACGGGCATGGATGTTAGCCCAGGGCCAGTATTCCTCAGCAAAAAGAGGAGGATTGGCAGATGTTAGCTCAGGGCCCATCTTCCTCACACACGCACAAAAAGATATCCAATCAAAATAAATAAATGAATACATAAACATAGATAAATAAAATGCTAGAACCAAAAAGAGGGAGCCTGAATTGGTGATAAGAAAGTAGAAGTTTTCAGATCAAAATCAGTTCATGCCTAAACCTTTATCACGTGCCCACAGAGTAGACTAGACAAGAATGTATTAGGTATACAGCCAGGACAGGGAGGCCCTGAGGGAACACCTGCTCTTACTTCAAAACAGGCACTAGTGAGTCATGCGTGAGCCCTAAGCTGCCTGAAGGCCCCCAGGTAGCAATCGCAGCAATATCTCATGTTCAGATAGTGCATTTCCCAAGATCTCATTTCATCCCTCACACTCCTAGCTAAGTGGAATGCTATTATCTACAGTTTACTCATAAGTAACTGAAGCTTTAGAAAGTAACTAACTTACATACATAAGACTAATGGAAAGCAAAGTTGAAAACAAGAATTTAGGTGTTTTGACTCCTCCTAGACTAATGTTTTCTACTACACCAGACTGTCTCAGATTTGAAATGGAGACAGTCTGCATTCTTGCCCAGGTGCATTCATATCCGAGAGAGATGGTGATTAGTTTTAGGGATCTCCAGAAGGGAAAGATTGGTGGAGTCTGGATTCAGTCTGATTCTTTGATATGACCACTTTGATTATAGATTCTTCAGCTTAAATAGTACCTGGTATAGAACCCAGCAGTTGATTGAATATCTGAAAGTGATTCATTGTCTGCTCATCCATTTATTCAACTAATGTGTGCTGTGCTTATGTTCCAGCCATCATGTTAGGTTCTTAGAACACAAAGATGAATAAGATACAGTTCCAACTCTGTGTCCTGTATACACATACTACAAAGCTACTAGTCCCTTAATGTGCATTACAACAAATTCTCTTTATTCACCAAAAATTTGTGTATTTGCATTTGACAAAGTTTAAGGATGAAATAGATTAACACCTGATGATATCAACACATGGAAATGACCAAGTAGGAGCTTGAAACAGGCCCTAAATGATAAAAGGTGTTACAGACATTTAAGAGGCTCAAAAAGCAAATGTCATCCCGGGGTCATTTCTGTTTTTTCTTTATTTAAGCCTCACTTCAGATCCTTAGAGATCCTACATCATGTCACTTCTCCTATAGCTTTGTACTGAAAAGAATCCTAGTGAAACACTATAGCTCTCAGGTGACCGTAAATTGTGGTAATATAAACCTAAGATGACTCTTTCTCCTTGGCTTCTATTGGACTGTATTTTATATGGTAGGTTCAAGTCTTGAAATTGGTGAGTAACTCGAGGTATTTGTTTTAAGCTTAAAACTGTTCATTCAATTTAAAAAGGAAAATATTGGCAACATTTTCTCACTTTGAATTATGGCTATCCATATTTGTTACAATTCTTCTATGTTCTGTGGGCATTTTATTTTTATTTTTGAAAAATGGTGATTTCTGGGCCGGCCCGTGGCTTAGCGGTTAAGTGCGCGCGCTCCGCTACTGGCGGCCCGGGTTCGGATCCCGGGTGCGCACCAATGCACCGCTTCTCCGGCCATGCTGAGGCCGTGTCCCACATACAACAACTAGAAGGATGTGCAACTATGACATACAACTATCTACTGGGGCTTTGGGGGAAAAATAAATAAATAAAATTAAAAAAAAAGAAAAATGGTGATTTCTTTTGTAGTTTTTGTTTTTGAGATTAATGGCTATTCTTACACTTGTAAACAGTACTTAGAAAGCACAACATTTGGGGTGTGATCATAAAGCATGTCTCCCATTCTTTATGTCTCCCACTGCCCTTCTGTAAGCAAGACCTACCCCAGGCCCTGGATGAAAATCTAGCAGTTCCCATGAATCTTCTGACTACTCTTAGATTTTTAAAAAAAGTCTACCACCATTCATGCCACAAAACTCAGTCTCAATTTAATAATTAAAATTCTACTCCCACGTAATAATCAAAATTATGAACTTCATTTATATTTTAGGCTTCTCCTCCCCACATCCGGCTCAGACTTGCTGCACCCAGGGAAGCCGGCAGTCAGAGAAGCCAGAACTCAGGAAAGGGAGTATGATTCACTACTTCTCTCCCCTTTCACTGCATTTCTATTGCTCCTCCTCCAGTTTTATAACTCTCCAAGGCTAAGTGTAGAGAGAGAAGAGAGGAAACAGGGCAGGAAAATTCTTACAGGACTGATGCTGATGCTGATGTTGGCTGCTACTGGCTCTTTTTAGACTTGACAGATGTTTAAATCTGGCTCTTTCTCTCCTAGAGAATGTATTGGATTGTTTTGCAAACCCCACCACCACCACCATCATCACCGAGTATCTCACACCCACGTCTATTCCAGCTCATCATTTGTGATTTCCTCCACACTCTGAGGTATCTGGGGGGCCACTTTTGGCCTCCTACTGAGGCTTCCTCTTGGGCAGGAACTAAGACAACCCCAGGTTGACCTTCTCCTAGATTATCCCATCAGATTTGGTCCTTGGGAAACATCACAAATCTTTGGCTGTGATAGACTCTAAAAGGGCAGCTACCTCCCATACTACAGTGATTGGCCACCTCCTCTAAGCTCGCATCCTTCGGATTTTGAGGTATAATTCTGACACCAGTATTCTGTGCCCCCCAAACTGCAGGGAACACATATAAAGATGATCAAGTGGTTTCCCTAAGTTCCTCTTTCTTGCCTTGAGGTGAAGGGGAAGCACCCAGACCCACACACTCTTCCTGCCATGGATGGTACAATCATATGTATAGATTTATATAAAATTATACATGTATATATTAAAATTTTTAAATAAAAAAATAAATAAGATAAGGCATTTAAAGATTCAAGCACAGTCCTGGGAAGATAGTAAGTACTGAACAAATGTTAGCTATTATTGCTAAATATTAGTTTTCCTGAAAGGTCATCTGTATGATTGTTAAGAAATAAAGAAAGACAAAGCCTCCTTTTAAAAGCCTAGATAGCTACATGCAGTAAATCAATTCCCTTTATTAAAACAAATGTAGTTAGAAACATTAAGGACTATCCCTTGTGTCTTAGATTTCTACAACAAAGATGGTGTGATGTAGTTCAGTGAGATCAGTGCATCCACAGAGGCAAAGAAGGTTTTACCAAAACATGAACCTCTAGGAAAGAAGCACTAAACATACGTGGCACAGCACTTTGGAAATGGTTAGGATTAAGTTCAATAAGCTGTCTTCTCAGTTCATTTACTCCAACACCAGAAGGTCCTAAAGACAAAAGTCACATACAGAAATCATTAGATGTGGATAAATACATGTGGTGAAATCATCTTAGTCCTTCTATTGAAGAAACTTGAGAGCAAGTGTTTTTAGGGAAATTACATAGCTTCTCTTCCACAGATTGGAACAACCCCAGAAAACTCTTAGGAATTTTCCTGGTGACCCATGGAGTAACCCATACTTCTTCGACATTTAGAAATGAGGTAGGAAACTGCTGGAACCTGTCACGGCAGCAAACTTCACCTAATTTGGACATTGTGAGAATTCTCTGGCCTCATCTCAGATAATCTGAGACAACCTGCCTTTCCTCTTCAAATGAAGTTCCTACCAGGTCACAACCCAGAAATCAGCCTCCACAGTTATGGGTCCTGTGACTCATAGAATTCAGGGGCACGTTTCCTGACAGCTGGTTGAGTCAACACCCCCATGTCCAACTGGAGGCAGGGCTGACCTCCTGGGCACAGAGCCTGTGCAGTTACACCAGGCCCGTGCTTAGGATGCTGTGCTTGGTTTAGTGCTCTTCTTTGGCCACACTGAAATTCTTAATAATTTTTGAACAAGGGGCCCTTGTATTTTCATTTTGCCCTGGGCCTTGCAAATTTGTGGTCCTGGCTGGAAGGCATGTTGTTCTGCTCTTTAGGGGCCTGCCTTGATCACAAGTGGATACACAGAGAGGATGGCAGTAAGACGTAGGTCACTACTGCCACAAGGACCAGCTTTGCGGAGCTCTTGGTCACAAAAGCAGGTCACCTCAGCTCTACATTTGCCCTGTTCTTTAGCACCAAAGATACAGGATAGAAGATTTTAGACACCTCTCTACAGGAGGTGGCTACAAATTTCTTAGGGAAATGAACCTTATGGACTTTTTTTCCTAATATAGACCAGTGATCCAGTCTGGGAGAACACTTATCTATGCTTATAGGACAAATTCTAAACAGGCAACAAAATCTCAGTTACAACCTCATCCTAATACAACTTGCTACTATACAAATTCATATACACCATGGCATACCACATTCACTGCAGACAAGAAAAGTGTGATACAATGAAGTTTTATTTACAAACACACATATAAAACAGGCTTTATTATTTTTTAAAGTGTTTATATGGGTGTCCATAAAGAGTCCTACCTTCACCACTACTCCCAGCGCACGACTACTGCATCTAGAAGGAAAGCCTCGCTATGGAGGAGGAGAGAGGGGGCGTACCCACGAGCACTACGAGGCGGTGCTTGTCCGACGGGCGGCGCTGGTACCTCACCACCTCCTCGTACGGGGCGCCCCCCGCCCCGCAGCGGCCGCTGGCACAGCACCCCCTGGCGCGCAGCCGGCCGAGGTGCGACTTCCTGCGACAGAGGCGCATGCTGCGGCGGAAACCAGCTGGCGAGGGGGAAACGCGCAGAACGTCAGATCCAGGGCAGGAGGGGTTACTTCCCGCTTCACCTGCGGGCGCACGCAGGGACTGTGACCCGAAAGGGTTAACTACCAGAGCCACGTCTGTCTGAAGTCAGAAGACAGGGAGCAGTATGGAGGAAAAATGACAAAATGCCCCACGTTACCTCTAAGTGGCCTCCAGCCCCCGCTATGCGCCAGGCGTTGTACCAGGCGCTGCGGGTACCGTGGTCAGCTAAACCAAGCCCATTTCCTCGTGAAACTTACATCTGATGGAGGAGCAGAGACAATAAACAACAACAGTGGTGCTGAGAGAGGGGTGAGTGGGTAGAGGGCGACCGGGTGCTTCTTCAGGTAGGCGGCTCAGCCAGGCGTCTCTGAGACGCCGACCCCGAGCAGGAGTCTGGACGAAGGCCTGGAGCCAGCTCTGGAGGCGTGGGGGCGCGGGGCGCCGAGCCGTGCAGGCTGAGGGAACAGAAACCGCAGAGGTGCGGAGAAAGGAGCGCGCTTGGAGCGCTGGAGGAGGAGCTGGAGCCCCAGAAGCTTCGGGGCGGTGACAGCAGGGACAGTGGCGGGGAGTGGGGGTGGACAGGAGGCCGGGCGGTCACAAGGGCCTTGGCCAAGTGTTGGGTTGTGGTCAGAGTGGGACGGGAGGTCATGGGATGGTTGAGAGACAGTGTGACATGATCTATGTTTCTGAAGAATCCCTCTGGTTGCTGTGGGAGGGTGTAAACTGTAGGCACAGTAGGTGTAGCAGCAGTGAGGGCAGCTGGGAGGCTACTGCAGAGTCCAGGGGAGAGAGAATAGTGCTCGGGCCGAGTGGAAACAGGAGCAGGCTTATTACCCACAGACGGATACACTAAGACCCAGACAGGTTAGGTGGTCGCTCACAACTGCGTGATCAGTGGCAGAGTTGGACCTCTTGGTCATGATTTCCGAATTCCTATGATCCTGCTTAATCTGCCTAGCGAATCACAGGGCTTTCTGGTACTTTCAGAGCTGTTCCCAGGTCCTCTCAGAAGATAGAGCTAGGGACTCTATGTGTGTGTATAAATACACGCACACACTTACATCTGTTTGTATCTATATATGTTGAAAACCATGAGTTCACACCAATACCCACAATGCCAATTCAACTACAGGATCCATTCCAGCCGTCCTCCCTTCTATATGTATAACTCCTTTCTCTGACAGTGAGAAACCTGGCTCTTATTATCCTCAATACACTTACTTATCAGATCAATCGAGAGCACCTGTGCAGGTGGGGGACGGTCAGTATCAGCAGCCTGGCAGTGTCAGAGCCCACGCTGGGTGAGGAGGGGGTTTTGCAGAGGCTGTGCGGGATCAGAGCCCTAGTGATGGCAACTGCCCTCCTCACTCACTCTGGCTCTGACAACCCGCCCCAGGCTGCCATCATCCCTGCACAGATGCCCCCCAACTCTGTGCAGGCTCTGATGCCCCACCCCAGACTGCTTCTTCCCCACTTCTGTGCAGATGCCCACCTGCTCAGCCTACCTAATGGCTCTGGAGCTGAATTATTCTGGAAGGGACACAGAAAGGTGGCCCCCTGTTTTTTTCAATCTCTCTTAATGATTCCAATATGCATCTAGGCCTGGGAACCACATTCTGCTTTACAGACCCTGCAGCCCTGCTGTTCTCCCACCGGCTCACGGAAGGAGGAAGCCCAGCGTGGTTTAATGAGTGGTACCTGGTCCTTCAGAAAGCTCCCCCCAGTTGACAGATTATGGAAATATGGCCATAAAACTAAGTTTAGTAGTCAGAGAATTGGTCTCTGGAGTAAGATAAATACATCTTGGAACAGAGTGGAAGTAAACGAAAGATTTGTGTGTTTTCAAATAGAGAGAGATCCAGTGTAAACTAGACCAATTACAATGAATGATCAATAGATCAGAATATTGACCCAAAAAAGAAGATAGAGGGAAACCAGAGGAAGGAACAAGTTTGTAAATGTCCATCAGCAAAAGAAGCTTTCAGAAGAGTGTCAGGCTGGTATGAATATAACTTAGCAAGTGACAAAGACCCAACCTCTTATTAAGCATCACCTACCGATAAAGAACTTCTGCCCATAGCCAACGAATTCCTCCCTGTCTGGAACACAGAGAAAGGCAGGAGCAGCATATGTGGAGGAGGAGGAGAAGTTCACTTAGAACAGGTGCATGAAATCATCTTCAAATCTTCACATGACCCTAAGTCAGTACACGGCAGCCCAGCTGAGAGCACCCTTAAGTGGCTTATTGAGGAACGTCCTGAGCCCTTCCCATCCTCTCACGTGCACTGACTGGGCAGAGACACACTCCAGAATTTCAGCAACACACTGAATACACTCTGTCTAGTGTGACGGGGAACAAAAAGCTATTTCAGGCTTGTTTAAAATTATAAGAAAGATACTGAGTCATAGTAAAAACATATAAAAATTGTGTATATATTTTTAAACATGCGACAAGAAAACTGATTTAAAAAAAGAAACAGAAAAAACGGCTTTGGCCTTAACTTGTAGATAAGGTGTTCTGCAGGTCCTATAATTAATCGTTTTGTTAGAAATGTGTTTTTTTTTCTCCCTCACAAAATGGTTTGTTCTGTATAAAATTAGTGTTTGCTCTCTGGCTGCCAACTGGCCAGGAATCTAAGAGACAAAAGGGAGGGAAACTGTGCCCAGTGGCTATGAACCATATAGGGCTTATTTAAAGTCCTGTCTCTGCTTCCCATTGGGGTCCCAGAAAAATTATTACAAACTCCAGGAAAAAAATATCATTTTCAAATTACTGTTTACTAACGTATGTTCCTTTTCACCTTTACAACTCTGTTCTGATCACTGAAAAAATATATAAAGAGCTTTTGGTCATAGAATTAACTGACATATACAATCTTTTTTTCTTAACTTTTTTTTTTTTAAACACACATTTTAAAATGTAAAGAAAACACACCAATATCAATTTCATCTTCTGGTAAATAAGCATATTTTTCTAACTGAACTACGTCAATAAATTTAAAATGAAATGTTTACTTAGGGATATATTCATAAAGCTTAATTATTTTCATTGTTCATTTTAAAATATTTTCTTACAAATTGAATATTTCATCATTGAAATGAAAAATCATTAAAATATCATATCTTAAAATATCATATCTTAGCTTAAAAGTTACCCTGTCAAGTTTTTACTTTAAGGCACTGAAACATCTTGAATATAGCTCTATTTGGCTAACCCAGGAAATAAAAACAACAATTACCTTCTGAAAGTTCCTCTAGATATTTGGGTAAGTGCAGAAACAGACATTATAAAGTTAGGACTTTGAGAAGATCAAGTTAGTCATCAAGGAAAGACAAACGACAAAAGCAAGGCATTCATGTCACCCTTGGAGAAAGTTGTAACTTATGTGAGGCCTGGCCAATGAGCAGCACACAACTGGGAACTCAGAAACTCATGTGACTCGACTCTGCTGCTCAGAGGACAATAACTTTTTCTGCAAGTTGCATATCTCTATTCTCCTTGAAGGCTTTTAGTCCATGAAGACTCCTCTCTACTTGGTTGGCACAAAATGAGGCTTAATAGGGAGAAATTACAGGAAGGCAACTGATTTGAGCCTCCTCCCCCTCCTCTCCCAGAGGCCGTGTGGCTGCAGTCCTATGAAGAGGAGGAAGTGGGGGAAGGGGCTCTGGGGCAGCCTCTGGCCTGAGCGTCCTCTTTCCTCACCCCTCCCTGGGTCCAGTCACATACTTCCATCTCCAGCTGGCCCCTTGAAGACAGGTGGATCTAACACAAAGGCTCGTTTGCATGTGATAAGAGAAAGAGGGACGTCACTTAATTGAAATAGGGATAATATGCCAAAGCAATTATAGAAGGAGGGAATGGAAAAAAGGAGGGAACCTAAGATTGGAACGTGGAAGTAGGTGAGTAATGTTAGCATGCCCCAAAAGGCTGCCATTTTTCAAAAATACTCTGTGGGATCTGTGTTGTTACTACAGAGGTCAATGTGATTTTGAGGGACTGACACTTGATGATACCATGTGTTATCAATAACAAACTAGTAAAGAAAAAGAAAATAAGTCAGTATAGATACCTCACTCCAGGTTATTTACCATCAGTATGGAGTAGACAGATGTGTGGAATAGATTATTCAGTAATTGCAAAGATATGTCTTTTATTCTGTTCAAATGTCTCTCTCCATAATGATTGTCTTCTAAACCACCAAGCTTTTCATGTTACATTTTGTAAAAACTTACATAACTATTGTGTATTAAAGAACTACTCATTTCTATTTGTAATGAGTTTGCCCAGCAGGACATTCAAAAGATTGTGCAGGACGGTCTCATACACTGCAGGGCGTCTAGCATTCCTGATTCTTGCCAGGGTGAAGGCCAGTAGTGCCCCCAATCAATGTGACAACCAAAAAGTGCCCTCACAGAGTTCCAAAATGCCCCTAATGGGAAGTAGGGGTTAAGGTGAAATTTACAATATCTCACAACTATACTGTTGATGCATTTAAACAATTATTGTATCAAATCCCCAAATAAGTGTTTAAATTATACAAAATTTGGAATATACATTTAAAAATAAGTATGGGGGCCTGCCCCGTGGCTTAGCGGTTAAGTGCGAGCGCTCTGCTACTGGGGGCCTGGGTTCGGATCCCGGGTGTGCACCGACGCACCGCTTCTCCGGCCATGCTGAGGCGGCATCCAACATACAGCAACTAGAAGGATGTGCAACTATGACATACAACTATCTACGGGGGCTTTGGGGGGAAAATAAAAAAATAAAAAAATTCTAAAAATAAGTATGAAATACTCATTTTTTTACTTACCAGATTCAAATGTTTCTTCATCTATGGTTTTCCACGGAGGCAAAAAACCAAAAAGTGTCATTACTTTTCCATCCACACTGAGTCTATATTTTAACAGTCTAATTCTCTGACTCTATGCTTCTGTACATGCACCACCTTGAAACATGTTTTCCTAAATCAAGGCCGAGCCAGTGGTGTCTCTACTGCACATACAAGCCTTGAATGAGATATATGGGATTAAGCAGTTGGGCTGTGATGACAAGCAGGGGTGCAGCAGGAGCTTAAAATAAATAAAACAGTAGAATAGAAGAGAATAAATAAAATAAAAAAGAGGCTCAGAGGGAAGGGGAAGGTGGAGTGTCGTGGGAAACTCCTCAAGATTGTTGGATACCGCACAGCTGTGCTGCCAGAGAGCTTGCCCACATAGGAGGGATGCGCCGTGCCTGAAGATTTGGGGGTCCTGAGCAAGCAAGGTGTAGCAAGGAGAACTAGCCTGGGAGTGGTTTGCTTGGGTAGGCCTGTTCAGGTGATGAGAGATCTGAGATATAAACCAACTTACTCATCAGTTCAAACAATTCTTGTTAGCATTTTGAATTTAAGGATTAGGAAACCAGAATTTATATGGAGAGCAATTTGAACTATACAGCAACATTATCGATGCACACATCCTTGGGTCAGGCTGTGCTGCATGTAAGGTGTACTCACATGTGTGAAACCGTATACTTATAATAAAGGTAGTCATTGTTTATAACAGAAAAGATTGGACATAAACATCTACCAATAAGTGATTATATAAATCACAACTTATTTAACCAATAAGCTCTTTAAAAAAATATGAAGAAGCTCCTTATATACTAAGATGGAATCATCTCCAAGACATAGAATGTTAAGAGCCAGGAACAGAACAGTGTACATAGCATACCATCAAAGCGTACATGAATTCGTGTTTTAAAAAAAGGTGAGAATGAGGGTGGGGGAGAGGAGAAGAAAACATACACCATTGCTTTTATATGCACAGACTATGTCCGGAGGGATAGAGGAGACACCGAGAGCATTTATTGCCCCAGGAAAGAAAACTGAGCAGGGGAACAGGGAGAAAGAGGACCTTTTACTGAATGTACTTTTGTAGTTTTTGAATTTTGAAATATGTGAATGTGTTACTTAATAAAAACTTTAATTAAAATTATAGAAAGGAAATGAATATTACTGCAAGTTAAAAAAATGGAGTGTGTACTTGGTAACATAAATATAGTGTCAGCATTACTCTGTAGTTGTTCTGGAATACGAAATACCCAGTATTTAAAGATTTCATATTGTTCTTTAATTTCTAAAAACTAGATTAACCCATAAAGCGAAGACAAATTCGCCTATCAGACTAAAGACTCTCCAACTAGTCTCTCAACAAAAGCCTAGTGATTCTTGAGCCAACCTTAGTTCTGCCACTAAATCTGGAAAACCTTTTCCCAATTTACAAAAAAATTTAAGAATAGAAATGTAAAAAGTTTTCATATATTTCTCAAAAATTTGGAACCCACTACTGTTTATCTATACTAGGATCTACCAGAAGATGGTATCAGACAATAACAAAATATATGTTTTGCTTTTTAAAAATTTGGTATCTCAATATTTTGTAGTATTTCACAGAGAGCACGGTGGTTTCCAGATATCCCACCTGAGTGCTACTATGTGTTCCTGTGATCATTTCCAAAATACTGCCCTCTAGAGCGCTTCCTAGAAGATTGGTTTGGAGCATGGAGACATTCCTACAGCTGTGCTTCCCTTCCAAGCGCCAGAACCACAGGAAAAGGCTGGCGGGAGGGATTCGGTTTACACATTTCTTCCAGAGGAAAGGCCTGTGGCCCCTTTGGCCGACTCTGCTTCAGAAAATCTATAGCTGAGGGGCTTCGTGTTTCTACTAGTGGTCAATCTACCGAGAGGAAATGCTACCTGCTTCCACACACTTCTCGTCAATCTTCATGTCGTCTTCTGTAAAAGAGCACAGAAAGAGAAAAGTGAACTTAAAATGCATTAGCATCACAAACAACATTCCCTATGCATAGGCTTATGTCAATAAAACTCAGAGCACCCTGTAATAGTTCCTCATACCACTATAGCTCACTGGGAGAGATAAAAAAGGACTCTACTGTACTAATGAAAATGTATGATATGGGAGGCTAACAACAAAACGGTTAGAATATAAAAGCGTAGGCTTTTGAATGCTGGACAAATTGGTTTCCCTCTAAGCCTTGGTTTTCTATCTACAGTGGGGACAGTAATCATACCTACTGCACAGGACAGGAGTAATGGAGACAATGCATGAAGAGCTCAGGCACGTGGTGTGCTCACTAGTGCTAACGAGTTTTCCCTTTAGCTTGCGTACATATAAGAGAATAAAAGAATATAACTTTTAAAACTAATCATCCTAATACTCAAAACCCTTTCATAACATGACCCAAGCCCAACTTGGAAAGCTCTTGTCATCTTCTCTCCTTCACGAGTTTCACACCTGCTCTAGAGCAGACGCTGCTTCTCCCTCTGTGCTTCTGCTCACGCGAGTCCCTTTGCCTGTAATGCTTCAAGGTCCATGTCAAACACCGATCCAAATGAATGCCCCTGCCACGGACTGCAGAGCATTTTCTTCCCACTACCTTCAGTTCTATGACTGCACATCTACTCTGCCTTGTGATATCATCATTGGGTGTTTGCCTCATTCGCCCCTAGACACTCCTTGAAAGTGGGAACTGTCCTGCTAATTTTCACATACTTTACAGAGTGTAGAACGGTGTCTTGCACACAACAGGTACATGAGAAATTATTTATTAAATTGAATTGAATTTTCCTTTTAACATCAAAACAGTTGATTTGAATATATGTTCTGAAAAAATAATTTCTTTCAGCACTGTGCATCATTTTTTTTTTTTTTTTTT